AAAATCTCAACAGATAATACAGGAGACCTGCATAATGGAGTTTTGAATTATCAAAATATCAATGGTTCATTTGGCATTTGCTGAAACAGACAGCTTGCTTTCTCATAAGCAATGCTGAAATATACAGAACATAACTTCATAGGCTATATCTATACTGGAAAGAATCTTTAAATCATATTTTCCAAAACAGCTTTCCTCTTTTCAGATCATCCATAAATTCTCTTTCAAAGTATGGAGACACTTCAGTGTCGGAAAGAAGACCGAACACACTGCTCTGGCATAGCACACATTTCCCTGGTATTCGGCTCTTTCTTTTATTCATGAATTGGAACCATTTAGGACCTTGTAAGCTTTCCCAGATTCACACCAATTCCCCAATGGACTACACTTCAGCCATACATAATCTAAAGGATGAAAAAGAGGGCAAAACAACTTCCCTATTCAAAATCCAGTGCAAACAGACCCCTGATGAGCAACTTGGACAACAGCATCTCAAGAGTTCACCTCAGGGGTGGTTGTCAACACTCACTAGCGTCAATTCAAGAGACTTTTCCAGCAGCTTTAGAGCAAAAAGTCATCTTAAAAAGATTATCAACAAACACGATCACTGTTTAGCCACTGTTTGAGAAATCCAAGTCAAATGAAAGCAGCTAAGCATACTCAACAGGAGATGGTACTTATTAAAAAAAAAAAAGAAAAAGAAAAGAAAAGAAAAGGAAAGAAAGAAGAAGAAGAAGAGAGAAAGGAAACAGAAATCAGAATTCAAACTTCAAAATGAGTGAGGAAGATCTAGAAAAAAAAAATATATTGTATACTCCTGAGCAAAAGCACTAAACTTTCAGTACTAGAGGTCACAAGGCCATCTCAACAGCTTTCACGTCTAAGATGATGTGGGTTTCTCTCTCTCTGGCTCAYTCCCTCTCAAGCCATCATTTATTGTGTTTTGACAGGTGGTCTTCTAACCTCTATGTTCTCAGCTCACTATCAATGCTCCTATTACCCATCTCCCATCCTTTCCTTTACTTCTCCAAAGTTTTCAATGTTTTCCTTTCGGATTCCATAGGAATGGCAACTGCTTAAAGTTTTTCTCACCTCTTGGGAAAATTTCTTTCAGAGGAATCAACTCAGGGTGCCACTAATTGGCTTTGCATAACAGTAGGTAAATTTGGTCTTAAAGCAACTGTGACACTGTTTGCCAACCAGATCCAATACAGATTACCAAAATCAGATTCCCCAGGGAATTCTATTACCAGTTCTAAAAACTATGTGGCTATTCATTTAAGTATCCCTGATGCTTTTCCAAGTAAACTCATGATTCTTTTCATGTAGGTATTCACTTCAATTTCTTGCAAATCCCAAGCTGGTGTTTCTAAGCGCTTCAATGAAGAAGTTCAAAAATATTCATCAAACACTGATTGGACCGATAAATCTAAGTTCTAAACTTTGCCAGGGAAAAGGGGGGGAAAAAAAAAAACCTCTGGTATGTCTTCCAAATCAGTTGCCTCTAGGAATTTCCTGTACCATGCTCAAATTATTTTTAATCCAACAGTATATTATTTTGACTGACCTTGTGCATATTTCTTAAAAGAATAGTTAAGAGATGTTTTGCTAAGTAGATTATGTCGTGGTAAAAATATTTAAAAAGAAGAAAATACTGGTTTGGGGTACAACACTCAGATAACTTGATTTCTTAAATATCAAGAGTTTTGGTACCCATCTATGGGTCTACACCAAGGTGCAGAGCCAACAGATCCTGCCGATTTTACAATTCCTTTGGGTTATGTACTACATATTATTTTGCTGATAATAAGCCATAAGAAGCAGTATTTTGCTATATTGACATGGCCTGGCCAAGAACAACAAGGAAAAGAAATAGCATTCAAAAAAAAAAAAACTGGCAAAATGTTTATGAATTCTAATCCTCTGCACATGAATAAATACATCTGACAAAGTGCAGAGTCCCTCAAAAAGGCCCTTCTTGACCTTTCTAATTTGAGTTCAATTGCATGTTCAGTGTTGAGAAGCCAGAGTGGGTTCTGCCAGTATTTTAAGCTCAAGGTTTAGTACATTTTTTGTTATTTGTAAAAGCGAAATCCCAGATAATAAGTTATAATTGCTCTATTAATCACTTGAAAAGGAGGTTTGGAGGGAAATTGGGATTTGAAATTGCAATAATTGGTATCTGAAAGACGTCTCTTTTATTTTCTTACCTAAAGCTCACCACATAAAATTGCTGTAAAAACTGCATGTATGCGCCTTTTAAATGGTGAGGTACATGCAATCTGCCTTTTATATTATTTTTTCTAAAGGAATGAAATTTAAAACTTCAATGCAGTCATGATGATCTTTGACCTGGAAAAAATACCAAAAACCAGGCCTTGGATTATAAATTATATTGTCAATGAAAGTGAGAAGAACTCTTTGTTTCTTGAGTTGTTTCAAGTATTACATTTTCATTTCCTTTTTCCAAATGAATTATAACGTACAACACACTTGTATTTTTCTTCCATTTTTCATTTAAAAAAAAAATCCTCTTTCTCTTAGCTTTGTTTCTCTGTGCACTGATAGACCTGTTATAAAAAAAATTCCCTTTCAATATTCAATGTAACAACTCCATCTGTCGTCCTCACAGTATCTGGTGAGAAATCTATATTCTTGTGTATGTCTCTAAGAAACTTTAGTGGAAAAAAATACAGAAATATTAGATTATTCAAACTTCCTTTATTTCACAATGAACAAATTTTTGGTTGTGCTCACTCAATTGAAGATGGCCAATCAAGAAACAAGATCATATTTAGGGTATTATAATAACGCCATTAAACGTAATGTCAGACATCCAGAAAATTGAAGTCAATTTAATAGTCAATAGAGCCAAAAATAATCATTTCGGTTTTCATTTCCTGGAACTTTTTTGAGCAATCTCTACACCCCTGTGGGCAGAATTAAGAATGACCATTGATATTTTTGTACCTGCCTGGTCTTTCTAAAACTGTAGAGAAAAGGCACAGATCTCAAACTTTAGCCCAATACATTATAAAAACCATGTAACTGCACTCAGCTGAATCTGTTTTGAAACCTAATCATTTCTTAAAGAGAGGGATCATAGAAGAGATTATTCCATCCTCACTGGAAATAYTCTCTTGAAAGAACAGAGTTGGACCAAGTGCAGAGATTACAATAGCAAAACGAGAATTTCATTTGAATGGGGTGTTCAAAGAGAGCCACTGAAATCCGTAATTTCCTTCCACTTAGTCAGAAAAGTAGTTTGCTTTTGGAGCCAGGTAACATTTCTTTCTGAGCAGGTCAATCATCAGTAGCCATAATCCACAACCTATTCTGATTTTCTGCACATCTGGTGTAAGCCTTTATAATGCAAATATTAAAACCAGTCTGCTTCTCTAAAATATTTCTATAGTATTTAAAATCAAATAGGGGATTTGAATATACACAGGACGTGCAAAAATGTTATCAGGTGTTCAGGGAGAGTAGAACAAATTAGCTGATAAAATAGGTAATCATTTATTTTTTGCATCTTTATTGCCTCACCAAAAAAAAAAAAAAAATCCAACATTCTTTTTATGTTGATGGATCACAAGAAAATGAAAAAGATTCTAACTTTTAAGGGAATCCTAGAAACCTTGAGTTGTGTGTGATCTGAAACAGCAGAAGTCCACTGTTGACACTAATCATTATGTAATTACATCCTGTGGGTTATTTTGCTGTCTAAAATTATGCAGCCCAATATGTAAAGCACTTGAGAAGTTATCAGATTTTCTCTCTAATATTTTTATTTTGAATTAAAAATATATATACTTAATTCAATAAATATGTCAAAATAATAATGTCAAAACAGTATAGGTTTATAAGATAATGTGACAATAAAAGATAAATGTTCAATGCAAGGAAAAAGGTAMCTTTTTTCCATAAATACTATAGGCAAACCCATGTGCTACTGTTAAAACAATATGAATGATAATTTTAAAATATATATATTTATTTCATAAGTAAAATTATATTTCAAGTTCACAAAAGAAAGGCAAAATATATACAATTTCATACACTATCAAAAGATGATTCACTATAACGAATAAGTGAATTATAATATTAATGCATACAGAATTGGACTTTTGCAGGGTACTGGAGATTTAACGCAGGGGTGCTTAACCATACTTGAGCTACATCCCCATACTTTTTTTCAAATGTTTTTATTTTGAAACAAGTTCTCACTAATTTGCTTAGGCCTTGCTAAGTTGCTGAGACTGGTTTGGAACTTGCAATCCTCCTGCCTCAGCCTCCCAAGTCGCTGGGATTACAGGCATGTGCCACTGCATCCATCTCTGAAATACTTTTTTGAGTTGCAATTAATTGGTCCAAAAGTTTGTCAGGATTTGGACATAAAACTCACAGAAATTCAGTCCTAATTCTGCAGAGTGGTCAGTAAAATGTACTTCAATGTAATTATGTAGTATTAAATAAAAAGAAAGACCTATAGCTATTTACATTCAAGCTCAAATCTTGGATCTAATGCATTCTGGCTGCATGCGTTAGATCAATGGATTTCTCAACTTTTTTTAGAAATAATATTTCCTTTTTATTATGGAGAATTCTTAAATGATGATAAAAGTAGATTATCAATATTTTTAAAAGTTTTATTTTTCTGAACTGACAATCCTACAAGAAATCTTAGAAAAGAAACAATGTTAAAATTTCATTTCTTATTGAATGTTTTAATGTTCATTTGATTGGGTCTTATTCCCAGAGTTTATCTTTACTCATTTTTGAGTTGTGTCAAGGGAGTACTCTGTGGATTCTGTGGCTGGGAAAAAGTTGTAGCATATATAACATGAGAGCTGTTAAATTGCACTTATTCATAGCTTGCTTACTTCCTTAAAGAACAAAATTGAGTTTTATAAGTACGTGGAATTTTAAAAAGACATTAAAATATTCATTCATACAGGTCTAAGCCTTTTATTTGACTCTTTTGCACTTGTAAATTTTACCTCATTTCCTAGAAGGGCATTTACACAGGCTTCCGACGCATCACAGATGGCCGTGAGATCGTGTCCTCCTTCCAGAGCCAACACCACACGTCCATCAGCCAATGTCATCAGTTGCTCCGTCAAATGACCAAAGCCTACCGTGACACAAACAGAACATTTCAAAAGCATTAAATCAAAGAAAGTGACCACTAGAATCTAACAGTGAGCATTTATTCTGTGTAAGTTCTTTCTCAGCCTTTCCAGTGAGAACACATGTAGTACTCATAAAAACTTTTTGGTTTGGTCCTGTTATTATCTCCTTTACAGAGGAGGGAATCAAAGCCCAAGATTCCACAGATAAAAAGTACCACAATCAAGACTTGCACCCATCTGGCTCTTTACCAGTGCCCAGTACGGTCTCTCATGACACATGCTACATGTATCTGGATGAAAAACTTGAATATTGCTCAGCTGATGTTAACAAGGCAAACTATCCTATTTGCTTCCCATGTGCCTCCCACCTCCATCATGTGCCTTTACTTTATTRTAAAAGGAAGTGTTTTATACCTCACCTCACATTACTTGGCTATCACATTAGGTCTTTATAGATATTATTTTATTATGAAATATTTGATAAGTAAAACATAAATTATATCTGTATATGTTATAAAGTATAATATGATGAACATCTGCTTATTCATCTTCTACTTTAGGGCAAATAACATTAGCAATGCCTTTGAAGCCCCCATATCCCCCTTTCAGATATAATCAGCCTTCCCTGTATGAAATCAGGATCCGTTGCTGCTGTCAGTAGGTCAATTTATGTTTATAGAATTTATTTACCCATTCTACTATTAACAGATTTTGTTTTTGTTGTTTCAAAAAAAATTCTCCTTTTTTGTTATTACAAACAATGTTGCTATGAATATTCTTATGCAAGTCTTCTGGTGCACATATGTAAGAATGGAATGAAATTGTTGAGTGAAAATCTGCTAAACAATGCCAGATTATTTCCAAAGGGCTATTACCAACCCCCAGTCTTAGAAGCTGTGTGTATAAGAATTCCAGTCCAGTCACATCCTTGCCAACATTTGGTATGATTTGCAAAGTGGATGAATAAATAATGTCAGCTTATTGTGGTTTCATTCAGTAGAAGGAGGGAACTTTCTATTTCTAGCTTGAATTAGAGTTTTTATTCAAATGGTTATAGAATTTAATTTAATTCTTTCTCTACATGGATGGTATTTTTTCCTACAATTTGTAGTGTTGTGAGTTACATCTATTAATATTTCTAATGTTACATTTATGGAATAAAATAAGCTTGTTCATGATTAATATCTTTTTAATACACATCTGGGTTTATTTTATTTTACTAATGCTGTTTAGAATTTTTCACCTCTATTAATGAATGGCATTAATCTATAATTTTCCATTCTTGGATTGATCATGTAAAATTTGATGTAGTTCTTCACTTGCTATATCTCTTTCATTATCTGAAAAGAAGATTAGGTAGACAGCTCTGGCAGAACCATATGTGTCCTGCATTTTTTGAGAGAATTTTWAAATATTGATTGAATTGTAAGAGATTATAGGACAATTCATGCATTCTATATTTTCCTGGATTATATTTTTCTAGGAATTTGTTTCCTTTAGGAGTTTAAATTTACTGAAATAAAATTATTTTCTTTTTGTTTATTTTGGAATTCAATTATATGTATGAGGACATAATTATCCAATGTATCCTCAGTGTCTCTTGAGTTTTCTTTCATATTTCCAWCTCTTTCTGTCCTGCAATGTGTATGTTTTTTATTTAAATCTATCTTCCAGACTTTCTCTCTTCAGATGGCTCCATTCTCCTGTTTAATTCCTCTATGCATACCTTCACTTCAGTGAATGTATTATTTAATTCCACAGTTTCTATTTATTGTAGCTCACAACTTCCTAATCATTTTTTAAAAATAATTCTTCTTCCTTGTTCTTGCTTTTATTTTTTTTTTCAGCATAATTGTTTTGTGTTCTGTATCAAAATTCTGAATTCTTCCAGTTTARTTTGCTAATTGTTGTGTCTTCTGATTCATCTTCATGGTTCCCTTAATTCTCCTCTGTTTATCTGGTTGTATTTTTTTGTTGTTGTTGTTGTTGTTTTGTTTTGTTTTAGAGGGTTCATTTGTTGCCTTTTTGTTGTTTATATTTTTGGTTTATCTTTTCTGCAACTTTATATCTAAAAGAATCTTGGAATTCCAGTATAATGGACAGAATGTGTGTGCCATCCCAACCCCTACTCCCACTTCAAATTCATGTATTAAAATACTGACTCCCATAGTGATGGTATCAGGAAGGACTTTTAGGCCATTAGGTAAATGAGATGAAGGCCTTCGTAAAAGGCCTTCTCTGGCCTCTTTCTTCCATATGAGAATATAGGGAGAAGCCAGAAGTCTACAATCCAGAAGGCCCTCAACAGAAAYTGACCACATGGGCACACTGATCTTGGGATAATACCCTTCAGAACTGTGGGAAACACACTTCTGCTGTCTATGAGCCATCATTCTATAACACTTTGTTATAGCAGCCTTCACTAAGGCACTGGTGGGAGTGAGTGTGATATCTATCTTTGAAGCCTGGGAAAGTGTGATTTTGTTTGCTTCTGCTGGGATACTTGGGATACTACCATCTCAAATCAATTTTAAATTATCAGAACTTGTGGAGTAGTTTTGTTTGTTTTGGCACATACATTCTAACTCCAAAACTTGATTATAATTTCTTAAGAAGGAGGAATTCAGCTTTGTTCCTATTTTTCCCTTCCCCTTCTCTTCCTCTTTTTTTCTTCCTTAATTTTCCCTTCTTTCAAGATCCCTTCTATTGATAGTGACAGCTGAGATTTGTAATTGCACTCATCAGTATATACTCCTACTCTTCCCTTTCTTTTGAGATCACCTTTTGCCATTCTTTATTTAGACCTTCAAATTTCCTTCCCATTTTAGGTTCAAGGTATTGAATTTCTTTTCCAAAACTATGCAGTAGACTAAAACTGTTCAAGTTCTAACCAGATAGAGATTATTGTTATATATGCCCCCAGGATGACCATCAACTTAAGATGCGCTCACCTTGCCTCATCTTTTGAAAGTCATCCATACATTAAAATGGCTGTTTTTCAGGTTTAACTTAGTATTTTGAGATATGTTAATGTAGGGATATTTCATGGGAGAGTATCTCATCTTGCCAAAGTTGGACATTTCTTATCCAATCTTTTAAAAAATTTAGCATTGCATCTAAACTATTCAATTCCAAGGATTATTTCAATTAGGATAAACAAAAAATAAACAAAAGCATGTGTTTTAGTATGACATTTTGCTTTTGTATGCTTTGTGAACTTATAGGAAAAAAACATTTATTTTTTAAATCAAATGTATTTTTATAATCAATAGAATGATTTTTTTAGAGCAGATTGGAGTTTACAGAAAAATTGAGAAGAAAATGCAAAGAGTTCTTCTATTMATTCCCTTATTTTCTTGTTATTAACATCTTTCATTAGCATGGTGCATGTGTTATAATTTAAACACCAATATTTATATATAATTGTTACCAAAGTCCATAGTTGGTGATTATACCTTGTGTTACACAGTTATACAGATTTTGAAAAAGGCATAATATGTATCCTCCATTACAGTGTCACACAGAAGAATTTCCCTGCTCTAAAATATCCTGTAAGATGCATTAATTCATCACTTCTCTCTGCTCCTCAACTACTTGCAATCAATGATCTTTTTTGTCTCTATAGCTTTGTCACTTATTTTTTAATGCTTACAGCAATTCAGAATTTTAGCTTCTTGTATTATCCTTTCTAAATTAGAAGAGCCATGATTTCATTGTCCCTTATTTATAACACTTATATCATTTAAAACACACACACACACACACACACACACACACACATATATATATATATATATATATATATCACAACCTTGGTAGACTAAGAGAATAAACTTGAATATGCAAGTTTATACTCTTCAAATATAACTGGGTTACTCTCAAATCCAACCTTAGTTTTTCTCTTAAGTAGTGTTTGTCTTATGTTTGAAAATAACTCCTCAGAATATAGTTGCTAGAACTAAATGAAAACATATAAAATTTTCAATCAGTAAGAACCCAAACCTAAACCAAGTTCCTTTTATTTTGGAACAATAAAATACTATCATCTTAATTTGGGGGAAAGCATTAAGATTTCTACCAAATAAACAACTGCCCATATTTTCAGTTCTGGTCTAATACTTGAGGTTAGCTATGAATGGGATAAAGCAATTTTCCTCTACTTTCCTAAAGCACTCTTAATAGTTTAAATCTAGAAGGTCCCCCAAGGGCTCCTGTGTTGAAGGTTTGATCCCCAGCTGGTGGCGCTATTGAGAGGTGGTGGAAACAGGGAGGTGGGGCCTTGCTGTAGGATATTGGTATGGAGGACATGGCCTTGAAGGGTATATCATGTCCTTTGACCCTGCTTCTCTCTCTCTGGGCTTCCTGATCACCATGAGATGAGCATCTCTATTCTGTCATGTGCTCCCCACCATGATATTCTGCTTTACCAAAGGACAAAGGTTTTGGATCATGGACTAACACCTCTGAAGCCATGAGCCAAAATAAACCTTTCCTTCTTAAAGTTGATTTCCTCAGGTATTTCATCACTGCAACGGAGAGCTGACTAATGCAAGCACTTTGGTGTTGATTTTAACCACTTAGCTACTATTTGGATGAAAATCAAGAGCCATTTATAATTATCCCATATTTTTATACACTTGGAAAAATATTCTAAAAAGCATTTTAAAATCAGGGAAAAACTGTTTTATAGCATTTCAGTATTTCTCACTTCCTGTGGACCTCAGGACAATGCCAATAAGAATCTTTTTCATAGACCACTGAGGAATGAGGCTGAGCACAGTAAACTCCACCCCTCTGCTAATCATGTGGTTAAATATTCCAGACAGTTTTTCCAAAATTTAACCAGGGCCACGGTAAAGATTGAAAAATACATAACAATAATAATAATAACAATAACAAATCAGGCCAGTCCACTCTATCTTTCATATTAAAGGTTCCTAGAAATTGACAGTTCAGCCATCTAAACTCACTCCTGAACAAATTAAATTATATGTGTTTCCAA